AGCATCAGCCCCGCAGGTACACCTGTGAACCCCCCCAAAATGCACCCCCCGCCCCAGCACCTGGCCAGCAGCCCCAGTGCAGCACACGCCGCTTCCCGGGGGTCCCGGCGAGGGCGAGGGACTGTCCTGGCACCCCCGCCCTGTGCCAGCCCCCACAGGCACGGGGGGACGCGCAGAGCCCCCCGTGACCCCCAGCCGTGGGGCCTGCAGCCCCCCGAGTGGTGGGACAGCCCCCGGCCCAGCATGTCCCCCAGCCGCGGGGACAGCCCCCAGCCCCTCCCCGCCCCCCGTGCCAGCAGGGCTCGGGGGTGCCATGAAGAGGGGTTGGGGACACCCCCCCCACGCACGGGTGGGACCCCCGCCCCTGACGCGTGTGTCGGGACGGGGCCGACACGCGGCGACATCCCGACCCCCCCGGGCCCGGTGCCACCCCCCGCCCCGACACCCGTCAGTCACGGTGACACAGATGGCGGCGGTGCCGGTGACACGTTCGGCAACACGCGGCGACACGTCCCGCCCTGGTGACGCGTCCCCGACACCTGCGGTGACACCGCCACCCCCCGCCCCCCGGGACACCCGGCGCCGCACCTGCCGCGACCCAGACACCCGCGCCCACGGGCACCCCAAATACCGCGCGGGACGGGGGGGCCCCGAGAGCCCCCCGACACCCTGCTGACCCCCTGCACCTCCCGGGGCCCCGAGAGCCCCCCGACACCCTGCTGATCCCCTGCTTCCCCCGGGCCCCCCAACACGGATGCAGCGGCCCCCCAGCACCCGGCAGGGACCCCACAGCCGCAGAGCTCCAAATCCTGCCCCAGCAGGAACTCCACAACCACAAAACCCCAAATCCTGCCCCAGCAGGGACCCCACAGCCACAGAGCCCCAAATCCTGCCCCAGCAGACACCCAGCACCAGCCCTGGCAGGTACCCCACACCTCCCTGGGTACCCCACACCTCCCTGGATACCCCACACGTGCCCTAACCAGACCCTGGCACGCACCCAATGCCCCAGCAGGGTCCAAGACCCCCAGACCTCCCCAGCCTGAACACTGACACCCACCTTGTCACCGACCCTGAGGCACGGGACACCCCCAGCCAGAGGGACACTGACCCCTGTGACATCCCTGTCACCCGACGTGGCCACCACCAGGGCAGCACCGGCTACGGCCAGGTGACACCAGAGCAGCGTGGGGGCACCCCGACATAGGAGACACCCCGATAGTACAGACACCCCGGTGCTGGGGACCCCTCACCGTCCCCTCCCCGCGGCTGTACCCCGAGTGGCACCGGGGGTACTCACGGCGCTGAGCTGCGGCGTCGCAGCCCCCTCGGGACCCCCCGACATGGGCACAGGGGACACGGGCCGCCCCGGGCGGGCAGCGACAGTGGCACCCGCTGCTTGTGGCACCCGTGCCAGGGTGGGGGGACAAGCCCCGTGACGGGGTGACGTCCCTGTGGGACGGGGTGACGTCCCTGGGGGCGGTGCGCCCGCCCCAGCTCCGACCCCGGCCCGGTGACGCTGGCACTGACCCACACCCACCCCAAAGCCACGGCACGGCAAGGGAACGGCCGCGAGGACCAGGGACACACCGGGGACACACCGGGGACCCCCGGGGACACACCAGGGACCCCCTGGGACACCGCAGAGGCCATGCCAGCCACCAGCCGTTACTCCTTGCCACCCCACAAGCCACCGTGGCACAGCGGGACACAGCACCGGGCCGGCCGTGGCACCAGGTGAGCAGGGGGGACCCACGAGGGGGTTACACCCTCAACCCCCGGGGGGCACTGGGGGGCTCCAGATCCCCCCGGACCCCCAGAGTCGCCCACCAGAACCGCCAGTGCCCCCCCTCCAGGCGCGGGTAGCCCACACCCCTGAGGGCGGGAGGAGCCGCAGGAGCCGCTTCCCCAGGGGGACACCCCAGGCCTCCACGGGCCCCCCCAGCCCCTCAGAGCCTGCTGCGACCCCCAGTGCCAGCCCCTGCTCCGTGTCCCCCAGCCCGGCGTAGGGACACCCCCGGGACCCCGCGCCCACGCGTGGCAGGACAAATTGCGGGTCCCTGTTCCCGCCGTGGGGGGAGACCTCCCCCCGAAAATCCCGAGACCCCCAAACCCATCCAAACACTCCGGCCACGATCCCCGGTGCCCGCCCCCCTCCCCCGATCCCGGCATGGGGACACCCCTGGTCCCCTGTGCCGTGGGACGCCAGCGGGACCCCGTTTGCACCGCGGGGGGTCCCTCAGAGCCCCCCCGGTGCCCCCCAGAGCCGCATGCAGCGCCCACCGCTGTCCCCGCGCCCCATCCCCTCCATGCCGGCGTGGGGACAGCCCCGCGCACGGTGAAAGGACAACGGCACCCCGACCCCCCGCGGGGGACCCTCCCCAGAGCCCC